AAGATTTGATAGATGGTAGCAAAACAAAATGGCCGCCACGGTCCGTCAAAATCTACCCGAGCTTATTGAAAAACGGCTCAAACGATTTTACATAAAATTTAGTGTCCAGGGAGTTTCGGGGACAATAAATCGATCTGGCTAGGACTTATTTTTAGAAAATGTCCTTTTTTCCGTGTTTTCAGGCAATAAAAAACTGCTACAATATAAGAAGGTAAATTTTGATAGATTACCAACGATCGTAATAGCTCAGGTGGGATGTCGGTTGGGCGTGATATCGGAGTTCCGTGGTTCACGGCCTGTCTCTGGTCCAGCTTTTTTCCTTTTTTTTTAATTTCCCTTCTTTTGTGAGAAAATCTATTATTTCAAGCCAGTGTTTTTAGTATTTTTTAAAAATACGAAAATTTTAACTAAGCTAATTGCACGCATGCTTTTTTATTCAAATAACAAGTTCAGTTTTTACTATTCTGTCAATTACATCAAAAAATATTATTTATGTTTCATCAGTATGTAATTTATAAATGTAATTTCAAAAAAAAAAACCGGGCAAAGGTCGGTCATCCGGGTACTTTTGCTTTGATTTAGACTATTCTTTGGAAATATCCCACCCCTAAATAAAATAGGGCATGAAGTTTTTAAAGTAGCTATTTAGATGTCATTTTAGTTGTTAATTGATCTTGTGATATTAATTAACCTATACTAAAAATATCAAATTAGTCAAAATTTTCACATGACTAACCTTGTCACATAATTAACTTCTTGAATTAGGACTTTAACGGTAATTCTTCAATCTAATATATCTTAGCACCGAGTTCAAGATCTATTTTACTATTTTTAATGCTCTGAAGTAGGTTTTACTTCTCATTAAAATTTAAATTTTATTATGTCATCGTACCTCTACAATTTACGAATTGTCATGCACAATAACAAGGCAAATCAAAATAATTTTACAAAAACCTCAATCATCACACACGATAAGCTTACCTTATATAAGCGATATTTAAATTGAGTAAATTTTCTGGAATATTTCTGGATATCGCATAGATTTATCTAAGCTTAGGATAAAATACACATTCATTCTGAGTAAGGTTAGACATGTTTAAGTACTTTTAAGCGGTTGGCTTTGTGAAAAAGATATAGATATTAAAACAAAAGCTAAGATGTATTCAGTGAACGAGTAAAATAAAGCTCTTTAAGTGCATCATGAGATAGAAGTTACAAAATAAGGACCAAAAAATAGATTATCGACTTGAATGTATGTTCTTTTTTTCTATGTAACATTATATCTTTAAGAATAGTAAATATATTTTTCAAGTTTATCTCGAAGAATGATGAATAAGATCAACTAAGCTCCTTCTTAGCTTTTACCATCGTTTTTTTTTAAATACAATTTGTATGTATAAAATAGTAAAGTTTTCAATCGGTAACTAGTTTAGTTTTTGATATAGACATCGTAACTATAACGATCTTAACTCTAAGCTGAAAATTTTGACGGCAAAGGAAACTGTTTCATCTACATTTCAAAAAAACATAAATTATTTAAAATTTACTGTTATCAATTGCAACGCGTTTGGCTAGGGCCAAACTTGAGGCAAATCAGTTATCAAAATATGTTTTTTAATTTTTTTCTGCATCTTTTTCATGAAGATGTTGGGAGAAAAGTATGAGATTGTGGACGACGGCGATAAGTCAAAAACTGGAGATAAATTATCAGCATCCGTGATGCCGTATAGTGGCGGCTTAAGAAAATCCACTTACCCATATTATCCCATGGGTGTCGCCGACAGAGGGAAATGGCATCATGATGGGCGGCAGCGTCTTCTGATTACAAGTAAAATATTAAAATGGAATTTCCCAACCCGCTAACAAAGCGTGACAGCTATGACTAAATATACCTTAGACGCCATTCGACCAACATAACCTACCGTAGGATTGACACTACCCACTCTCTAAATTCTTTAATTAATCCTTATCCCGAGATTTTGTAGATCAATCAACTGTTACATAATTAATGAATGATAATGACAAACCTTTTCCCTTCTGTACTCGTCTACGAGTAGTTGTCTGTAAATACCTACATGATTAAAATCTTTTAGTTTAAAATAAAATAGGAGTATATAAAACTGAGAAACTTATTTATAAACTGTTTTTCAATTAGAACGGGTAAATTTTGACGGACTGTGGCGGCCATTTTGTTTTGCTGACATCTATCAAATCGTTTGTTTATTATTCAATTAGTTATGCGAAGTCACTACAGCAAGTCACACGATTGAACAACATATCAAATGATAAAATATTATTATCAAAATGGGTGTTCGTTTGTGCAAACGTTGCGTTTTACGGTAGATGTGGTGGCCCTTCACAGTCGACTCTTCAACATTTAGTGGCCCTATTTGAAACGACCGGTTCAGTTAACAATCAGCCTATACACGTATGTTCAATGAACGTAAGATCGCCCAAGAACACAATAAGTATGTTTATATTTTTACAAACAATAAGTATGTTTATATTTTTATAGGTAATGTCTACTAAGTATCTTGAGCCAGTTTATATCCATTTATATTTATCCGTGGTAGAGCCATGATGCAGTTATATTAGTAGAGTATTTATACATATGAATATGATATACCCATATGAATGGGTCGGCTCGGCCGGGGCGGGACCACGCTCCTATAGAAAACCGGCATAAAATAGTAGCTTAATGCTGCTGTGTTTCGCATGGTGAGTGAAGAGAACTGGAGATTTTTACTGGAAACGAGGCCTTTCATCTTAGTCCTCACGGGTGACAACGCACCTGCATCTATGTTTATGTTTAAAGACATTTATTCTCATAAAGACATTTTATACGCCACTTACATGAGAACATAAATAAAAGTAAATCTAATTAACAAAATTCATTGTCGCTATGTTGTTGAAAAATAAATAACGTCAAAATCAGCTATTGACGGGAAAAATCCATACAAATAAAAGAAAAGTTAAATTCTAGTATACACTATCACCTTAGCACCACAATACTAAGACCAGGAAACAAACCAGTCCAACGCACTCAGATAGATATGTTTGTGATTATATGATTTGCTAGTTGCTTTTTGAACACATTGAACGAGTCTACATTTTTTATTTCCGAGGGTATCTTATTAAAAAGGCGCGAACCTTCGCATGTAATTGTGGTCTGGCCGTACTTTGTTCGAGTTTTAGGCAAAACAATGAAGCTTGCGCGTCGAGTGCAGATGCGCCCAACTTTTTTTCGCTTGGTGAATTGCAGATCCGTGCGGACCTTCTTGTTCATGGATTTGCGAATAAAGATACATGTGCTGTAAATGTATAATTTTTTGATATTCATCAGATTCGTCTCTCGGAAAAATTTTGAAGTTGACGTTCGGAAATTGTAGTTGAATAGCATTTTTATGATTTTATTTTGTAGGATTTGTAATTTGTTTAATCTAGTACTGGCAGTGCTTCCCCAGACCTCGATGAGATATAACAGGTGTGGTTTAAGTAGGACATTATATATTGTGAAACGTAGTTTCTGTGGTTCTATGTATCGAAAATTAATCCGAAGTAAGGCGTGAAGTGACCTTAATTTGGTTATTAAATATTTAATGTGAACTTTCCATGCTAAATATGTATCCAAATGAAGTCCAAGATATTTTTCATTAGTTTCTTCTTGCAATGGTGTATTGTTTATTTTAAGAGGTGAGAAATTAGGTATAGGTTTATTTTTTGCTTTAAATATTATATAGCTAGTTTTGGAAATATTGATAGTTAGTAAATTGTATTGTAACCAATCGCGAAGAATGTCAAGGTCCTGCTGGGCTTGAGAGACAAGATCATGAATTGAAGAACCACAGTAAAAAAGACAAGTGTCATCGGCGTAAAGTGTGATATTGCCGTTCAAGCCCAACTCATGCATATTGTAATGTAGACTAAAAATAGCAGAGGACCCAATATTGAACCTTGTGGAACTCCATAGGTTATGGGTTGTGGGGGACTTTGAGTGCTACTGTCTATTTTAACGACCTGGGATCTATTCGGGAGGTAAGAGGCCAGTAATACCAATGACTTCCAGTTTTTTTTAAGAGCAGTTTATGACATACGGTGTCAAACGCCTTTTTTAAATCGATGAATACTCCTAGTACGATGTTTTTCTTATCAATGTTTTGTTTGATTTTAGTTACCAGATCAATTGTAGCTGTGAGTGTATTACTTTTAGAACGAGATCCGTACTGTCTATCAAAAAAAGAAATCTATAGAATCTAAGTAGTTTTGTAGCCGTGTATGTAAGACTTTTTCGAGAATTTTTGATAATACTGGCAGTACGGAATTTGGTCGATAGTTGCCCGGTTCTGTTTTTGGTCCCGATTTGTAATTAGGTGTTACTTTGGCTATTTTAAGTGAGTCTGGAAATGATCCGTTTTGTAAAAGTTTGTTAAAGTTTTTCTTTAATGAATTTATTATTAAGTCCTTCACATGCTTGATAACTTTTGTACTAATACCATCTAGAAACCGACACTACTGTTTGAATCAAGTTTGTTAATAATATTAAGGATTTCTTCTTCAGTGCATGGGTCTAAACTATTCATTTGCAAATTTTGTAAAAGTGGTTTTGGTAGTACGTGAGTATAATTTACATGGAACTGAATAGGTATTTCATCAGCTAAATATGGCCCTATAGTAGCAAAAAAGTTACTAAATATATTGCATATCTCATGAGGATCAGTAATTTCTATTGAATTGACAATAAGTTTGGGAGGAGCGCATCTTTGTTTAAATTTATTATTTGTAAGGGTATTGAGTAAATTCCATAGCTTTTTGGGGTTTCCACTGTATTTGTCGAATTCCTTCTTATAATATGACTTCTTTGTTTCCCGTATCAACTTGATTATTTTATGTCTTTTGATGATAAACTTTTCTCTCAGGTCTTCTCTTTCTGGGTTGTTCTGTAGTTCTGTCCACATTAAGTTTCTTTCATTGATCTCTGTTATGATAATTTTGTTTATCCATTATTTTTGTGGTTCATTCATAATTTTGGTCTTTATTACTTTGCTTTCTTCCATACATTTTTGTATTAGTTTTTCCAGTCTTGTGAAGTCATCGTTGGATTCTTGTATTCCTGCTTTCTCCATTGATTTATGAAGTTCCTTATAATTTATTGCTTCGTATTGATAATATTTTCTTGGTTTTGTTTTCTTGATTTCCACGTAAAGCTGTCTATGATTTGAAACAGATGAGTTGACATATACCATATGAAAATTTTCTTCCTTTAAGTTGGTGCTTACATGATCTAGGATAGACTTTTTTGTATGTCCTTGTCTGGTGTAATATTTTTTTGTGATTTTTTTATGATCTTGTATCCATTCTGTTTTAGCAAATGACTGTATCTTTTGGTCTCTGAATTTTTTGTGAGTAAATCAACGTTAAAGCCACCAAAAACTATTGCTCTGCTTCTTTCTTGTAATTGTGATTCGTATACTTCGAGAAATTGCTTGAAATTAGTGTGTCCAGGATTATATACCACTCCTACTTCAAGTGCATATTTTTGTAGTTTTATCCACAGATAGTTATTGCCTCCTACATATTTTCACTCTGATAAACTGTGCTTCAGGTTATTATGGAATAAGCAGATACCCCTCCTCCACCAGCATCTGTTCTGTAGTTATAATAATGAAAGTAACTTGGTAGTTGAAGTTGTAATGCTTGTTCCACGTTGCGAATCCAAGTTTCAGTTATTAGTATGATGTGCACATTATTTGGTATTGCTTGTAATACACACTTAAGTTCATCGAGTTTTTCCACTTTACGTATACTTCGAGCGTTGAGGTAGAGAAAGGTAAAGCGTGATTGTAAAATTTTGGTAACTGTTTAATATTAAGTGTTGTTTTTGATAGAAATGTTTATTTCTGTGTTTACTGTGTGGAGTTTTTTGATGTTTTTATGATTTGATTTTTATGATTACTTGATTCGTAATCGATGATAGATGTAGATATCTATGGGGTACAGCAACCACTTATCATCAGGGGGACTCTCGTTTGTCACCCTATCCTATATCGTACTTCTACAAATGACTGTACTCAGCCGAGGTAAAATAATATATAAGAATTTCGATTATCCATCACGTTTGGAGTGAATAGATAAACACGCGTTTCCAAGTATTCATCCTAGTCCTAGGGTAGATGCCCAACGTCGGCTGGGTATTAAGTCCCCAAGACCGGATTTTGGTCAAGGCGGCCAGTCTTAAAACGAAGACTAGACATTTGCGCAGGACATGATTATAGTGCCCAAGTGTATACACAAGGATAGTTGAACTCTCTATTAGATCGGGTGCAAGACCAACAATTTAACACGCTCCCCAAGTCACGAGAGTGGAACATAGCTATCTTCCAGACTCCGGGTTGCACTGAAAATTTCCTAATAGAAAAACGTAATAATTTATTTTGGAACGACCCCCGGAATCTTATGATTAGCAGTCCCTATGTCGAAGTCAAACATTTTACGACGTATAGATAATAATACGGAATATTCAAACGACTAGAATGATTAAAATACAATGTTTTAAATAAATAAAAAAATGAAATAAATATCTGGTATACGTTTATAACTTCATTGAAAATTCTTTGCAAATTAGTGACAGAAAAATGGGAAGTAATTGCATTCGTGTACGCGGAAACTGATAATCCTATACCTTTAAACGAGCAATTCTTGATTATATATATTATATATATATATATATAATCGGAATCTCGGAAACGGTTCCAACGATTTTCATACAATTTTGTGTGCAGGGAGTTTCGGGGGGCAATAAATCGATCTAGCTAGGATTTATTTTTAAAAAAATGTATTTTTGTCCGCGTTTTTAGGCAGTGAAAAACTGGTACAATATCTTTAGAATAAGAAGGTAAATATCGACAATCTATTAATGATTACAAATAGCTTAATTGGTATATTGGGTGGTCACAAAATCGTAATACCATGGTTCGAGCCCAGATCGACCGACCGACTTTTTTAAATTTTTTTTTCAAGTTCCTTTCTTTTTTGAGAAAATCTATTTTGTCGTGTCCTTTTTTTAGTATTTTTTAAAAACACGAAAATTTAAATTAAACTAATTGCACTCATAATTTTTTATTCAAATAACCAGTTCAGTTTTTTCTATTATGTCGCTAAGATCAAAAAATATTATTCGTATTTCATCAGTATGTAATTTGAATCTAAATATAATTTCCAAAACACACGAATTAAAAAAAAAACCGAGCGAAAATACTGAGTAAAGCTCGGTCAACCGGGTACTATGATTTAATTGACCAATTACATCGCATGTATACATAATCAAATTAAATTTCAGTTCCTCTACTATTAGTTATTTTAATTTCATATTAAGATAAGATTCTAGAGTAATGTTATATTGTCGATGATTCTTTTTATTACTGAAGTAGTCTAAACTCAATCGCGGTAAGTACAAAGGTTTAATATTTTTTTAAATAATTAGGTGAAATTATTTTCTATTAGTTCGATATTATATTGTGACTGACTGCCTCATTAGTCCAATGGTCGTAAAAGCGATTGCTGATCATGAGGTCTTTGGTTCAAATCCGGGGTCAGGCCAATAATATCTATAATTGGGTTTCTCTGTCAAAACATCCTTAGTAGCATACCGGAATTACGAAGTGTCTTCCGAGGCATTGTGACCGAAAGTCGGTATGGAAGAGATCATTATTATTATTATGATCGAAAGTTTATTTACGTTATATAAATGTAACAAATTAAAAAAACATGAACGCAGCGATTGAACTTAAATATCATATCATAGACAAATCAATAAAAATATAATTTTATACGTGATAGAGCCACGCTGTAGCTATATTATGGTTGTAGCACGAATGGGTCAGTTTAACCGGGGAAGTACCACGCTCTCACAGAATACTAACATCAAATAGAAGCTTAATACTGCTTTGTTTCGTACGGTGAGTGTAGAGAACCGGAGACCCTTTTTTACTGGAAACGAGGCATCTTAGTCCTTAGAGAGGATAAATGCTTGTTTGTTCCGCTTATTCTAAAAAAATAGAAGGAGCGATACGTGAATTTATGTACGTGTTAGTAAAGTGATACAGATTCCGTGACCTATTACCTTTTTTTTTATAACGCGCAATCTTTTTCTAATAAACAGCTACATTATAGTCGTGAACATGTGCATCTAGAACCATATTGTTGGTTACAAATTATTTTAGATGTCTGACCGTGCAATGTCGGTGATAACGTAGATGAAAATGTAGATATGTTGTCAACCTCTGCGGGCTAAAAAGAAATACTTGGTTACTAGTTAAGAAGGGTCTCTACGTCACTACAATCACCATAAGAAACGCAGTAGCATTGAGCTGGTATTTCACATTAGCAATTAGTATGCCGACCACTTTGTGCTGCAGTCATGATGTAGCTACAGCGAAGCTCTAATACTTTAAAGTGTGATAATATTGAAGTAAATTTGGTAAGAATTACCTCGCCCGCATCCGCTCAATGAAATAACATAATGTGTTTTACCTAGTTTGAGAGGTTACGTAGTTCGAAGAGCCGTGGTAGCTCAGATAGTTAACGCTCGCTATAAATATAACAGAACGCGAGTAATCCGGGTTCGATCCCTGCCGGCACCAATGAAATTGTTAATTGCAATTTTAAGTGCTGATTTACCACGTGCTTGTCGGTGAAGAAAAACATCGTGGGGAAACCTGCATGTCTGAGGAATAAGAAAAAATTTTTTTCGAAGACATGTAAAGTTCGCCAACACGCATTGAGGCAGCACGGCGAACACTTCCTTGCCTTAAAACCCTCTTAGAAATGAGGGGTGACCTGTGACCAGCAGTGGGACGTATATAGGCTGTAACTTTACTTTTTTTAATTTACCTAGTTTTAAGAGCACCTACCGCCCTCCCTCAATTGTGTGCACTAATCCCGTCACCACTAATCCAGCACCTAGTGGTTGGTAGTAGTCTACCAACGCCACTACACTAGGAAAGACACACCATCGATGATAATACAAATCATTATTAGTATTATCATCGATGGTGTGTCTTTCCCAGTGTAGTGATGTTGGGACCAGCTTGAAAATAACAGCATAATGATATGTCACGAGAAACATATAACTTTTTTTAACTGGAAACCAGGTGTTCCGTGTTAGTCTTGAAGAGCGGAGGAGCTTAATTTCTATTCCTAATGGAAATATAGAAATAGATGTAGATACTCCATAAAAAAAACTATTACTTAATCGAAAATTTTATTGCATTGGTCCGCTAATACTTAGTTTAGAATCAATAATTTGTTATCATCATTTGATCTATTCCAGCAATATACATTGTAAAATAAAGTTCGAAAAACAAAATTTTATTTATGTAGGACGAGGATGATGCATGGTAATGGCAGTCCGCTGCAACGTGTTGGTTGGTTGGTTGGTTCAAAGTGGAAATAACACTAACCCGTACTGCCAAACACTTTATACGTGCAATCTACGGGTGAACTACACGCGTGGATCTATCAACGCTCTCCAAGTGCAATGTAATAATGGTATGGGAATGTTGTTGGGGCTTCCGAGATACTGCAGCCCGTCAGGGATGTTCGCGCTGGCACACACTGATATGTTTCACTCCTGCACAAAGGTGGGGGGGGGGGCAACACCATTCTTAGTGATCATTAAAAAGCCTGACTGCCCGACACTGCGGCACTGGGTGTGCATTCGCACACATGTTGCATACTAACATAGTTTTTAAGATCTCTTTTTTGTTACTAACAATATGGACAAACGTCTGAATTAAATGGATTTTATTTTATTTATTTAATTTAGTAAAGAATAAGGGTGTCAAGCGATTACACAGTTCACTATATGGAAAGTAGCTGCATTAGTCCATAGACATCTATATATGTCCTCGATTTAAGAATCAAAATGCTACTTTTCCAGTAAAGAGTCTTACATAATTAAATTAAATCAATAAAATTTATTGTATTAATTCATATCAAATAATTACATTTATTATATTATTTTAAGAATAATTTGTCACAATCCACGGAAACATTTACATGTTGTTACCTAAGCGTATGTTGATAATGCTTTTCATGTATTAATTAAATTTAGAGTTATTTACTGCACTAGAGATCGCATTGCGGATGACAAGTGGGAATGTGTTATATAATGGTACAATTAACGCATATCATAATATATTATATATTTTGGTTTTGCAGAATAGACGTTGAAAATAGCGTTATA